GGGCGGATGTGGGGGAAGGGGGGGCGGTGGCGGCGGGTGGGGGTGGGGACGACGACGCGGACGGGTCGGGGGGACGCGACGCGAGCCGCGGAGCCGCGGTGAGTCCTTTCGCGACGGCGCGCGCGGGCGCGGTGGCGATGGACGCGGTGGAAAGTGCGGATGCGCCGACGCTGGAGTTGACGATGGAAAACGTGGACGCGGCGCTCGACGAGGTTCGCCCGTACTTGATCGCGGACGGCGGGAACGTGGAGCTGGTGACGATCGACGACGGGATGATCGTCGTTCGTTTGAATGGGGCGTGTGGGACGTGCGCGTCGTCCACGGCGACGATGAAGGGCGGGATCGAGAAGCTGTTGAAGCAGAAATTCGGTGCAGCCGTGGACGAAGTGGTCAACGTGAGCGGCGACGCGGAGGAAATGACGGTGGAGACGCTCGAGGCGCACCTCGAAAAGCTTCGAAAGTCCATCACGAGCTACGGCGGCGAGGTGAGCGTGGAGTCGCTCGACTCGAGAGGGATTTGTATCTTGCGATTCAAGGGGCCGCAGGCGCTCGCGTTCTCCATCGCGCAGGCGCTCAAACAAAAATTCCCGCTCGTTCGCGAGTGCAAGATCAGGCAGGTCAATTAAATTAATTCATTCACGGGGTTGTTTTATGGTTTCACGCGACGGGGCGACGCGCGCTGTAATAATGAACAATCAACGACTCACAACTCACGTTTCGCGACTCTAAAGTCTCCTCGAGCGTCTCGGCGACGCACGCGCTCTAGTACGCGGTTCGCACGCCGTACTGGGCGAGTTTTCTCGACAAGTAGGCGTCTAAATTATCGAGGTCATCCGGATTTACGTCGATGAGATCCAGGTCGAACTCTTCGTAGAGTTTCTTCTTGTACTCTGTGGACGAATCGTAATCCGGTTCACCCTTGAGTCCCCAAAACTCGATGTACACGTTGCCCTTGGGGGTGCGGCAACAAAAATCCGGCGTCATGACTTTATTCTCCGCGAGGTGTACTTCGAGCTCGTACGCGTGCGGCACGGCAGTGGAATACAGAAAGTTATCGATCAGCACCTCTCCGCGACTCCGAACGTAGTGCCCATCCCTGGTTTTATATTTCTGCGACTTGCCGATAATCGAGCACCTCCCGCACGCGCATCGACACTCCGCCGGCTCGTTTCGTCGCTCGACTCCGTCATCGTTCCTTTGCGTTTGCTTTCGCGGCGACGCCTTCATCGGCGCAGAGAAATCCGACAACGCTCTGCGAAGTGCGGGCTCTCGCACCACGCGCTCTTCAAACTTGACGTACGGCACGCCGTTCGACGCCGCGTGATTCGACGCGCCGTTTCTCAGACCCGCCTTCGTGCTCTCCCACCCCCCAGAATCGTACGGCGAACGCGTGATCCATCCTAGCGACTCGAGCACTCGATTAACCGAACGCGCCGTGATCTGACTATTGGAAAATTCTCGAGCAAAGTGTTCCGCGAGCGCCGTCGCCGTCTTCACGCCGCCGCCGGCGCTCTTAAACTTATACTCGTCGTCCCGCCGCGGCGCGAAAGGTCGACCGCTACCGTCCGCCGACGCCGATTCACGTCGCCGTTTCGACGTCTCGTTACACTTAAAACACCTCGCGTATCCCTTTGTGGGCGCGCCGCAATCCTTACACGTCGCGTTGCCCGCCATCGCCACGCGCGAAACCGACCGCTCGCTCCCGTCGTCGTCGCGAGCGGATGATCGACGACCCGTCGATCGCTCGAGGAACGCAAGCGTCGGTCGCGTCGACGCCCGCGTCCGCACCGCGCGCGAGGACGGCGCCGCGCGGGGACCTAACGTCGGATCTCGTTAACTCGCCTGTGCAACCGGCAACCGGTGAGCTCGCTCGCGTCGTCCTCGTCCCTGAGAGCGGCGCGGTGAGGGCGTTTGGGCGGTGTCGCGAGACGACGTTCCGATGCGCGCCACGATCTTCACGAGCGAATGAATGTGGCTATGAACCGATTCAGATTCTATTACACGGTGAAGTTTTCACACTTGAACGACTTATCGACGCGCTTCATGATGCCGCTAATCACCGCACCCGGACCGACCTCGGTGGCGGCCTCCAAGCCCTTGCCAAGAAGCGTCGTCATCGTGGTTTCCCACTGCACCGGGTTCGTGAGCTGCTTGGCCAACGTGGTGCGAATGCTCGCGGCGTCGGTGTGCGGCTTGACGTCGACGTTGGAGACAACCGGGATGCGCGGTTCCTTCATGTCCGTCGCGTCGAGGGCAGCCTTGAGTTGTTCAGCCGCCGGGGCCATGAAATCGGTGTGGAACGCACCGGCAACGGCGAGGCGCACGAGCATGCGCGCCTTGAACTCGGGCTTGGCGATCTCCTCAGCCTTATCGATGGCCGGGATGGCGCCGGAGAGCGCGTAGTTGCCGTTGCACAAATAGTTCGCGACGGAGCACGGCTCGCCGGAGAGTTCCGCCGCGCGCGCGGCGAGCTCTTCAGCCTTTTCAGCGGACAACCCGATGACGGACGCCATGCCGGACGGCGTGGCGTCGGCGGCGGCTTGCATGGACTCACCGCGAATCTTCACGAGCTTCAAGCCGTCCTCGAACGAGAGCGCGTCGGCGAACGTCAAAGCCGTGTACTCGCCCAGAGAGAGACCCGCGACGACGTCGACGGCATCGATCGCAGCCTTACCCTCCGGCGTCATCTTCATCTTCTCCAGTGCGGCGAGCGAAGAGACGTAAATCGCCGGCTGCGACACCGCGGTGGAGTTCAACTTTTCCGCCGGGCCGTTCACGCACACGTCGAGCAAATCGTACCCGAGCACCTCAGACGCCTTGTCGAACATCGCCTTCGCCGCCGGACACTCCTCGCACAGCTCCTTCGCCATGCCCACCTTCTGCGCCCCTTGTCCCGGGAAGAAGAACGCATTCTTCGGCGCGTAATCCGCCGCCCGGACGACGACGGAACGGGACGCGCGCGTCGTCGCTCGGCGAGTCCTACGTTCGCGCCAACGACGTCATCTCTCGTCAGTCACCGCGTGCGTCGAGCGCGGTTCCAACGCGCGCGCTCGTTCGGCCGTCGCGACGCGCCGGGCGTCGAACACACGCCATCGAGCCGACGCGCGAGAGACAGATAAGACCCGATCGATGTCGACTCGCGCTCGGTCGTCGCGTCGGTTCGTCGCGCGCGCACCTCGACGTGCGCGTCGCGCGGGCGCTGATGGAGAGCGATGCGGAGGCCGACATGTTCGTCGCGAAACGCGCGCGTGTGCGGCGCCGCGCGCGAGAAGTCGTCGGTTGGCGGAAAAACCCGAATTCGTGACTCGGCAGCAGCCCTAGAGGGAGGCGCGACGCGCGGAGGATGGTTCACGAGCGCCAATGCGTGTGATTGAATACAACGCGTTACAACGCGCACTAGGGAATGATTATGGAAAGGAATTAATTCGACGCCACGACTTGACCGCCGGAGACGACGGCGTTGTCGAGCACGAGCGCGGGTCTGGTCTCGAGGGCTACCGCGATCGGAGCCGGAAGCGGCTCGCTCGACAAGGACGCGCGAGAAATCATCTCGGCGGCAGCCTTGCGCGCAGCCTCGAGGAGGTATAGATCCGTGGACATCGAGGCGTGGAACAGATTCACCTGCTGGCCGCTTTGTTTGGTACCGAAGAGCTCGCCGGCACCGCGAAGCTGCAAGTCGCTCTCGGCGATGCGGAAACCGTTGTTCGATTGCTCGAGAACTCGTAAACGATCTCGAGCTCTATCTTCCTTGGACTCGGCGTTTTCGCCGACGCCTGGGGTGTGTAAGAGGAAGCACTTAGATTGCCTCGAGCCGCGACCAACGCGACCGCGAAGTTGGTGAAGCGCGGCGAGACCGAAACCGTCGGCGTCCTCAATAATGATGATGCTCGCGTTCGGAACGTCGACGCCAACCTCGACGACCGACGTGGCGACGAGAGCTTGGGTTTCGCCCGCACTGAACTTTTCGAGCGCTGCGGCCTTTTCCTCCGCGCCTAGCTGGCCGTGCAGTAGGCCGAAGCGCACGTTTGGATACTTGCTCACCAAACGCGCATACTCTTCCTCCGCGCCCTTCACCTCGGACATACGAGAGGAACCAGATTCTTGCACCAGACGCACGATGATGTAAGCCTGAGCGCCTTGACGAACTTCGTCACGCATCGCTTCGTAAGCGATATCGTGTTCGTCCACGGCGCAGACTTTCGTGATGATGGGCAAACGACCTGCAGGCTTTTCATCAATGACACTGAGGGCCATCTCACCAAACTTTGTCATCGCCAACGTTCGGGGAATCGGAGTCGCGCTCATGGTGAGCATGTGCGGCGGTACCTTACCCTTTGAAAGTAGCGCTGCTCGCTGTTCAACGCCGAAACGATGCTGCTCGTCCACGACGGCGATCCCCAAAGAATTGAAGACGACCTTCTCGTGAATCAGTGCGTGCGTGCCCACGATGATTCCTATCTTCCCAGAGCTCAAATCCTCGAGTATCTGCGCTCGCTCGGCAGTTTTGGTAGATCCCGTGAGCAATACCACCTTAGGTGGGTCTCGCATCTGCGACAACAACTCGGTGAGCACACGATGGTGCTGCGTCGCGAGAACTTCCGTCGGGGCCATGAAAGCGCCTTGATGCCCGGCTCCAACCGCAGCGAGCAGCGACATGGCGGCGACGACCGTCTTACCGCACCCGACGTCACCTTGGAGTAAGCGGAGCATCGGTGCCGGCCCCGCCATATCACTCAAGATCTCTTCGAGCGAAGACTCCTGAGAACGCGTGAGCGCGAATGGCAGCTCGGTTCGCAACTCGTCAACCAATGCCGTGCCGACGATGCACACACCCTCTGTGGTCTCTGAAACAGGCAACGCTTGCAAGCGACTGCGTTCCTGCAAAAGCGCGACCTGTAATAACAGCAGCTCTTCGAACGCCAAACGCTCACGCGCTTGCGCGACGATCTCAACGTTCTTCGGTCTGTGAATGTTTTTCACCGCTTCCGAATGCGAAAGCAAGCCGAGCTCCGAAAGCAACGGGTTGTCTCGACCCATAGATACCTCGACCGGGTCGGCGGGTAGCTTTTCGACGAATATATCCATTGATGCGCTAATCGCTCGATGCCACTCTACGTTACTCATCTGTCCACGCTTGGCGTAAGTCGCCACAATCTCCGCGCCGTCCGATTCTAATATCGGCGCATCTTCGGCAATCGGAGCCACTCGCCCTCCATCGATGCTAAACTGACAGTTCCTATCTCCCGTCCCTAAAGTCCCACGCACGCTCACGCGCGCTCCGATCGGCATTCCCGCGCGCATGTCTTTGGAGATATGATCCCAGACCTTGACCTTGCACCGAGGCTTGTTGTCTCCCCATGGATTATCATCCGACGTGGTGATCTCCGACTCGGGTAAGTCCACCTCGACTAAGATGGTGTTCGGAATCGAGCGCCCGCGCATGTAATCACGAACTTGCATCGAACGAACCGTACCCGTGAGCGTGACTTGCGTCCCCATCGCCAGCGATTTGTTCCACGCGCTGAACTCTTGGTATTTCCGCGGGCAGTTGCGAAGCACTGCTTCAATGGTGCTCACGCCTTCCGCCTTCAACGCCTTCATCGTCGACTTGGGAACTTTATCCTTCAACACATCTATCGGAGTTTCTTTCCATCGCTCTACATCGAGCCTAAGCTCGGAGACATCCGTCTTCGCTGTGATCTCGACGAGCTTTTGAAAGTCAACTGTTTCTGGTAGAATGCCGTTGATTGGATCCTCAGCCGCCCAGAAGGGTTTCTGGACGCCGCGAAGCGAGACGTTGTCGTTCGGAGACGATTCTCGTTCGGAGCTCTCGAGTTTTTCTTCATTTTCGAATTCGTCGACGACGGCCCAACCTCCACCCAAGTCGGCCTCTTCGCCGTCGCTCAAGCTCACCGTGCCGCCACCACCCCATCCCGGCGCGCCGCCGGGCGACCAAGATCGCTCGCTATCGGATTTCGCCTCCGCTGTTGCGCGCTTCAAGCTCCCAGCGCCGGGATCTCCGAGAGAGAATGAAAATTGCTCTAGACAGCGCAACTCATTACCCTTCGCCCTGGGATGTTCGAGCATTTTGTTGAGAATATCCGCCAAAACGCGCGCGTCCGTACCCGCCCGGTGCATTTGAACATCCCCACCCTCTAACTCGATATCGTAGTGTCCACGTAAGACGTCCATTGAAAACTTTCCGAGACCATCAGGACGAAGCAACTGTCTAGCGAGTGGTAGTGTGTCGCAGAATCGCCAACTCGACGGCAACTCCCGGCCGAGTCGACGATACTCGTACTGAATGAACGCCGCGTCGAATTGACGTGCGTTGTGCGCGACGAGCAACACCGGCGCGCCCGGTCGCGACTGTCGAACTTGCTCAATAAACATCTCGAATTGTTCCGCCGCCATGGCGAACGAAGGCACATCGGGGGCGCTCACCATACTATTCGTGATGCCCGTGAGCGCCTTGATAGCGGGTGGAATGTTAAACCGACCGGGGTTCACCAGCGTGCTAAAAGCGGCGGACGGGTCGGTGAGCGACTGCGCGGCGAGTTCGATTATTCGACTCTTTTCCTTGCTCAACCCGGTGGTTTCCAAGTCGAACACGATGATCGATGGGAACTCGGAGGAGTTTCGCGAGACTTCGACGTGCGTCGGTTTCGCGTTCGACGGCGCCGTCCCTGCGGACGCCGTTTCCGTGCGCTGCGTCGTCGTCATCGCCTCCGTCGTCGACTTCATGTCCGTCGCGCTCTTCGTTCGTCCACCGACGCCCGCGAGCACTGACGAGGACGACGACGTCGACGCCGCGTTCTCCGCCGCCGCGCGAGGCGGCGCCCATCCTCTCGGCGCCGACGCGTTCTCAATCGTCGACGCAGCGCTCTGCACCACCCCCGGGAGCGCGGCCGACACGTTGTTCAACAACATCCGTCGGCGATCGGTGTCTAACTTCCCGTACATCATCGAATCCCGCACCATGTGCGCCAACATCGGCGACGCGTGCGACGTCTCCAACTCTCGCAGCGAAGCCGTGAGAAAACTCTGAAAATCATCAAACGCCCGTCCCTTGGCGTTCTCGCACCCGTTACTGATCTCATACTCCACCCCCGCTCGCAATCGATGCTGCGTCGTCCCGTCGCGCGCGCTCGTCGTCAGTCCTCCGTCGCCCGCCCGTCGCGCCGCGTTCAAACCACCCATCCGTCGCGCGCGCGCACTCGTCCCGTCTCCACGCACCACCACCCGCGCGCTCGTCACCACACCGACGCCATCATCCGCGTCACGTCCCCGGTCGCGTTCCGACGTCGCGCGCGACGCCGCGCGCGTCCCTCGCGAGCGCCAATCCGCGCGACCGATCGACCGCGCATCGCGCGCCACGCGCGCCATCACACGCC